TTTGAATGATGAACGAGAACGGGAATGTTTGCTACTTATTCATCAAACTCAAACAACTGTTCATGCAGCTGCAGTTTTGTTAGAAGGTATCATCTTTTCCTCCAACCGATTTTCTGGAGTCTTTGAAGTCCACTAGATACTCGTTAGGACAACAAGAGGATTGTTCCGAATTCTTGAGGTTCTTGTTGAATACTCTTCGTGAGCAAAACAATAGCAAAATCAATAATCCTGACCGCTCTGGACTGAATGATTCCGTACAGCCCATCTCGTCTTGTGTTTGTAAATCTTTTGCTGGAAAAATCCTCACTGGTTTACTTTGTGGTAAATGTTCAAGAAGTACCGAAAACTTAATGTGAATTTCTGGAACTTCATCTAGCTTTTCCTAATACGACTAATAACCAGTCCTTGCAAAGCTTATTGTTAAATCATTTGAAAATGGAATTTTTAACAGGTGATGATCGACTGTATTGTCAAACATGCGCCAAACTAACTGACTGTTATAAGGAAACAAGTATAGCTGAGGCACCAGTCAATCTAATAATAACACTGATGATTTTCAAACAAGACTCAACCTCTAACGGAAGCAAGAAACTCTTTGGAAGGTTCGAAATAGATGAACATTTCAACCTAGCAGACCACTATTATAATATTCATGCAGTCATTGTTCACTGTGGTTCTGGCGTTGAATTTGGTCATTATTACGCCTTGGTCAAAGAATAAACGGACTGGTTTAAGTTTGACGATAGTCGTGTCACGAAGTGTTCTGGCGATGCATTGAATTTATTGGAGCCTCTGGAGACACCCTACATTTTGTTTTATAAGAGAGAGGACATTGTTAGATCAAGATCTTCAGATGATGTGGTGCTGCAGGTATTTCCGGGTTTTCCTGCAACTGAAAAAGCAAATGCGCCACTGGAATCAATGAAGTCGCCCCGGAGCGCCAATTAATTTTTATTGTTGTTTTTATTTTATTTTTATCGTTGTTTTATAATAAAAAGGAGGATTATTTGTGGAAAAAAAAACTTAGTTCATATTTTTATCAAAAACGCCAATGAGTATTGTCCCTTGCAAAACTAATACAACCCTCTTCCGCGTTGCGAAAAATAATTATTCGTGATGGAAAACGTTCAGAGTAATACCCTGTGCATGCTACACGCATACCTGGCACGGTAAACCGGAAGGAAAAACATTAGTTACATCAAAATCCATGAACCGAAGAGCCGTTTCACAAGCCGCGGATTTCTAGGGCACCGTTCTCGTTGTTTTGGCATTGTTGAGTCTATTCAAAGAATATGACCTCCAAAGTTTGACGGCGAAGTGGAAAAATTGCATGAATCATAATGTTTGTTGGTTTATGAATGATTTCCATACGAATCATCGCTGTTTTGCCTTGAATATATGGAAAAACCAGCCTTCTAATTATGTTTACTCTCCGTTTGGGATGGTCAGGAGTAGATAAATTGACTACTGGTGCTTGCCTATAATTTAATATTGGCCAAACAGGGTGAACATTTTTCCGAAGAATAAAAGAACATAAGAACATAGGAACAATTCCATATTTGCGAACCATTTTTTGGCGGAGGGGGTGAGTTTAACTACGATTATGACGTGATACGTTCTGAGAGAGAGGTTTGGAACTCAATCTTTTAAGATTATTATTACATTCAATGACTCGATCGATTTTTTCATAATATTTCAAATTTTCCAATCAATTTCACTTGAACCCAGGTAAAATCATTAACCATCAAGTGAGTAGAAGAATTCAGTCAGTACGATCGCATCTGAGGAAGTTATTGCATAGCGAAACACGTTCAGTGAGAATCTAAAAATGCATTGTCACTTGAAGAGGATTTTTTCCCAATTTCAGAAATGTTCACATCAATCTTCATAAAATAATATAGGAAACTCTTATATAAACATTGAATTTCAGTAGAATTTAATAATATCAACTCTTTTATATATTATTAGATGAGTACGAAGGTTAACAGGCAGATGGCGCTGCTAGTATCAAATCCATATCATTTTCGGTCAACCCTAACCTTCAAAAGACACGTGTACAAATTTCACAGCTGTTGGACTATCAGTTTGTGTGATAAAACATTTTGAGTGAAGCAACATTTGTTAGTTTGAAAAAAAAGGATGAAAAGGAATTTCTTGTGTTGATAAAGCATCGATTTTTGACGAAAGAAAACTGTTGACGCCAAGGTTTAGCTTGACAAACATTATTCAGACTTTGCAGCAGGAAAATCAACTGTTGAGAAGTGATTTGCCAAGTTCAAACGAGGTGAAATGAGGGTGTTACCGACGATCTACAAAATAATTTTGGATGACTGCAAAGTAGAGTTGCATGAATATTTGAGTATATAACAACAACGAATTAATTATTCTGAGCAGAAACACCCGAATTTCAATTGATCATTCAGTGAATTAAATAAATTCCTGAATCTATTGATTTCTAAACATTCTAGAAGATTGAGTTTCAAACTCTTCGCTTCTAAATGTAGCACGTCTTATGCATAGTTTAACTCATGTCCTTCTGCTAAAAGGTGATTTGCAAATGTGGAATTGGTCTTTCTATTTTCAAAAATACTTCTATACTCTTTGATTCTTTGGAAAAATGTTCTCCCTGTTTAGCCAATACACAGTTTTAGGGCAAGATCCACAAGTCAGCTTATATTATGGACCAGCATCTTTACATTTTGTACAAAATTCAATGCTCATTGTGATGTCCATGTTCATGTCCACTCAGAATGATGTTTTATTAAGGTTTTTTACATTCTACAGGTTCTTCTTGTATATACTTGACGAGTAAGTGATTCAAAAAAGAATTTATTGTTCAAGTTCACGACTATTACTTAGTTGCAGGTATCGCATTGTTGATGGCGTAGAAGTTGAAAGCGCTTTACAATTTACAAATCAATTATTTACACGAAATACGACTCTATTCCTGATTTATCAGTCAACAAATCTCAAAATTCGATTACACTAACTACTTTTTTGTATTTTAATCTACTCAAAAGTTGAAAATATCTAAAAAGCGTCTGTGACATCTTCTTTTCATGATGACTTGATGCTGATCCTTCATTCTTCCATTCTGAACCGTGTTACAAATGATATCGACGCGTCACTAGGGTTTTTGTTTTATCATTTCTTGGCAAATATCATCACAAAAAATATATAAAAATCCAGAAACCGAAAAAACACCTCGTAAAGCTACACCACTGAATTAATAAAGTTCTGATCGCGACAAGTGGCAAAAAATATTCACGAAGTTTCTTCTCTTACCGTTTCAGACGTGAAATTGAAGCAAATTGTACCTGAAACTCGCTGAAAGCTTCTGTTTCGCAACAAGGTTACAACTCCAACAACTTAGCCGGCTCAGAATTGTAAAATTTTCAGTCCGGGTGGGAATTGAAAAGTTTGAGACAGCCAAGATATACTTCCAAAGTATTTGCGAAGTATGAGAGCCAATGTGTCATAGGAAATATGAAGAATGGTGGTCCGTTTCTCGTCTGGCAAGTATAATATATTTTTGTTAGGTCGAGACTGGAAGCAGGAAGTTCGATATGCTCCAGTGCGGTGGTTACTAACAGAGAATTCTTTTTTTGGAACATAAAGGTCCGTTCAAAAAATAAGGTGAATTTTCTTTTATGTTCAATGTTGAAGAAGGAAAAAGTCACAGGGAGCCAAATCTGGTAATTAAGGTGGCTGATGTATGATTACGGCGAATGAGCAAGTACCTCATCATCGGCCGATTCCATCATATATATGATGAAAAAGCAATTGATTGTTTTTCCACAATACCGGACGTTTTCTTTGTATTGCTACCCGCAAGCTTCAAGATAATTCTCCTTATTTACCGTACGATCATGTGTGTACGGTCATATGTGTACGAAGTGATTCAATTTTCTTCACTTTCTCTATATTTTCATCGGTTGTTGATGCGCTGAGACGTTCAGGGCGAGCGTCGTTATTCATGTCTTGTCAGTTGAAAAAATAAATATTGATTTTTTTTTAATTTGTATGCAAAATTCAGTTTAATCGTTGTAGAAAAGAAGCATATCATCGCTTAGTCGTTACACAGTTGTGTTGCTGGATCAGCAATGGCCTCTTTCAATATATTCAAGAAATTATTTTGAATCATGAAATTGAACACTTTTGACGCTTCTTTGAAATGTTTTTCACGTACATTTGGGGCTACGCCTTCAAGCTTATACTGAAATTGTGCTTCAGAAAAATGTCATCCGCCAAACATCACAAGAACATCACTTTCTTAGCCCGCTTTATTCCCACCGAGAGCGTCAGTGTGAACTTTTGAGAGATGTGATAACAACTGTTTTTTGGGATTGTCATTGAGTCATTTCAATCGATTATCTTAAAAAAACAATCAAATGAGCACACTACGCATCATTACTTGAAAATCTGAAGGCAGAACTTGATGAAAAACGACCACATTTGCAGAAGAAGAATTTCCTGTTTCACCAACACAATGCACCGTCTCACACCTTAATCGTTACCATGGCGAACATCCACGAATTACGGTTTGAACTGCTTGAACATCCACTTCACTAACCAGACCTAGCCCCTAGCGACTTCTTTCTGTCCCTTCATCTAAAAATGCGCTCGGGCGGCTAATATTTTCGTCAAATGAAGTGGCATTCACCATCGTGAACAATTATTCAGAAGAGAAAAGCACCGACTACTATTTGGACGGGTTACAGAGATGGGAGGATCGCTGGGAGAAATGTGTAGAGTTAAAAGGGGACTATCTTGGAATAATTTCTGGAAAAATGTCTTGTATCTTTGTTAGTCGGAAACTTTTCATACCGCCCTCGTACTCCCTCCGTAGAAAACAATTTCGCGCTCTTTCCAACTTTAAATCGACCTAAACCTGAACGTCTTCCACAGACGACGCTCCCTTCATCGAACAGTCATTTAAAACCCGTCGGTAACCTTGACCACAAACTCGACACAAACAAACAAACAAACAACAAACTCACCTGAGAAATATCCGGATCGCTTTTCATCTTGTCCTCCAACCGCTCGCTCCGGACTCTATCGAAAACCCCGAAGGATAAAAGTCCCAGCAGGAAGCACCAAGAAACCGGCCAATTTCCCATCTTTTCCTGCGGTGCACTGCCGCGAACCGATTTCTCGCAAGAAGTTCGTTGACACTGGGTTAAAATGCAAGAATATGGCTCGAAGGACCGCGTTTGACTGGAGCCGCGGACGCGGATGGCAAGATATCCCCACCACACGCAGCGGCGTGCTTGTAGAATCGGCGCTGCTGAGGGTTTGCGCAAGAGCGGCAGGTGGTAATTGAATTTCCGGAAGATATTGAGGACTGTTACATGGTGTGCGAGTTACTCACCTAGTTACTCTGAATGATTGTTTGTGTCGACTGTCTGTTCAAGGTTTGTGTACTTCATAGTGAAGAATTTCATTAGTTCGGTCTTCCATGATATAAATTGATTTGTTAAAAATTGAACTATTAACAAGAAATGAAAATTGAAAATTAGAAAGATCAGCTATGAAATAACAATTATATTAAGCAAAAACAAAATTACAATGAAATAAAATACAAGCAACAATTAAAAATTGAACTATCAACAAGAAATGAATATAAAAATTTGAAAAATGGAAAATTTTAAATATCAGCCATAAAATAACAATTATATTAAGCAAAAACAGAAATTGTAATGAAATAAAATACAAGCAACAATATCAAATAATAGTCTTCAAGGAGACACCTTTTTTTCAACCGTTTCCCCACAATACCTCAACGAAGACCATGCAATATTTCGCTTCGCTGATGATAGCACTTGTCTCTAGATAGCCAAACAGCACCTTCCAATGTATCATCAAGAGGTTCATCGCTTTCATTCTATCTCAATATTGATTCTAGATATTAACCTTTCCGTACCTCTAATTGTCAAATTTCTAGAGGCTCTTCTTCCTTCTACTGGCTCCCCTTGGGGAAGTCTTGTATAGTCAATTTGTATGAGCCCCCTTCTGCATTGGTCCATCCAACCTGAGCTAGGATGACTAACCCGTCTACATAACCCAATACTGTATTTTCATTATACTTCAGTAGAGTGGGGACAAACTCTTTTGATAGCACCCATCTCTTTGTGGGAATGCAATTTATCCAACTTCAGCTTGTCTCTTAGATCTCTTTTTCCTTCGAGGTCTGCATGATTCTAAAGACATCTTATCGACTTCTCCCTCTGTATCTAAAAAGCAGCTGAATGTGCTTTTCTTTATAACCATCCACAGTGAGATGATTTGATATTTTTGTAGTTTGTTGGAATCTATGGATCTTATACAGGGTGAGACAACGAGAACTCACCCTAGATACTTACCTACTGCTACAAAACTATGCTGTTTCTTTGGAAAGGGGACAAGTCTTGACCCAAAAAACATCAAAAAACATCATAATTGATTTTATTTTAAAACTGGCTGCGATGTTGTTCTTGAAGGTTGATTTTTTACGTTTTCCTAGTTTTTGAAACACCGAAATGTTCTCATGTATTCACCTGTAATAATAATGATAATAATAATACGTTTTTACTCACCATAATAATGCGATTAGAACAGACAAAAAGAGGAAAAACAAAACAACCTTCAGTGTAAAGGTGAATAGGCGGAATATCAGCCAAGACTGTTTTCCTACAGTATGAAATATTGTCGGAGTCATATCGTTGCAAATTCTGAAAATAATTGCGGTTGTGGATCATACACTTCAGATGTCACGTATTTCCTGTTAGAACATCCACCCTACTCACCAGATCTAGTTCTACGTGACTTTATGTTTCCGAAAGGGAAGGAAGCATAGAGATAGAACGATTTCGATACAGAAAATGATATGAAACACTGTTTTGAAGAGTGAAAAGTTCAAATATAACAAACAATGTAGGGAAAGAGACATGTTGAAGAGAATAAGTTCCATAACGAATGTTTGGAATACAAACTGAACAGGAAAAATTGTTTTTTTTTTGTATAATTCAATGTTCATATGATTCATGTAATTCAATGAACGTTTGAGGATGACAGTGTTCCATATAAGTGAAACGTTGCCTCTTTTATTTACTATATTGTGTAGAAATCCTGTGAGTGATATCTGATTCAATGCCATAACAGATCTGTGTGAAGATTTTTCATTGGTATATCCAATGTTCTTTCTTTCATTAGGAATGTTATCCGTTTCCTAGTGATTGGTGGTTGAGTAGAAAGTCAAAATTTCCCTTACTAACTGAGTCATACAAAAGTAATTATAGTTTTTCGACGCATTGAATTGTTATGACGCTATAATTTCAATTCAGCCCTAGTCAAATCTATTTCAAGCAAGCAATCCCAAATATCGATCGCAACCTCAAACTCGATACAAACGTTGTTTATCTACCTTTGGATCGCAGGGAGCAGGAACAAAAATAGCCCTTAGTCACGCACATGGATAATTCAATAGTTGCTGAAAACCTGAAAACATAAAACAACAATGTATCCTGTTCTATTGTCGCAGAATACTCTGCGAAGCGGCAACTCATCTGTAACGTGATGATTCGCAGAAAATAGCAGCAATTTCTGCGAATTGAATGAAAGGATGATATTATTCGAGATCATCTTCTTGAAAGAAAAGATTACCAACTCCTCGGAAGGGAAAAAAATATTAACTCAGTTGATTTCATAAATGTCTATCCTATAGATGTCTGTGGGTCTGAATTGTGAATCAGAACACAGATTCGTGTATAAAACAAATTCAGGTTGAGTCAGATTGACGTCACCTTCACAGTATACATCAACTGAGACATGGATCAGATATACGCCTTTTTGAAACATCTCAACAGTGTGAGACTCTCCACAACACAACTGAAAAGGAATTCAAAAATGAATTGCCATTTTCAGACATGATGGTGGAGAAATTACCGCAAATCAAAAACATCTGTGAAAAAAAAATTACTCACTGAAGTACGAATCCAATTCCAATCACTCTACCAAGAGAAAAATCGTTAAATGTGCAAGTTTATGTGCAAGATTCGGGCATTGCCTCGTCATTAGTGTATAGCAACTCGAACATTGAAATTTAGTTTGATAATTTTGCGTCTTTCGTTCCTCAGAAATATTTATACATTTTGTTTTTATCCCAATTTTGTATTTGGTTACATTTTTGTAAAATAAAAACAACGATAAAAATTAATTGGCGCTCCGGGGCGACTTCATTGATTCCAGTGGCGCATTTGCTTTTTCAGCTGCAGGAAAACCCGGAAAAACCTGCAGCACCACATCATCTGAAGATCTTGATCTAACAATGTCCTCTCTCTTATAAAACAAAATGTAGGGTGTCTCCAGAGGCTCCAATA